GACATGGAGGAAAAAAGGGAATAGGGAGGGGAGGGAGAATAAAGGTATGAAAGCAGAATTAAGATGTGTTATGTACATGTCCCAACTCCCCTCAAGGAATGTAATCATTTTGTGCTACAAACATGTACTAATAAAAAATAAAAATTGAGAAAAAAACTCAAAATCTGAGAACCACTATCCTTTTTATTTTTAAATTAATTTTATTGGTACATTTTAGATATACATGATAGCATGCATCATAGGGAATTTGTACCTGTACATGATATATCTTGATTCTCTTTTTCCTCAATCTCCTCCCCTCCCTTCAACCTCTCTTCCCCTTCTGATTCACAAAAGCTTTGTTTCCGTTTTTTTCCTTCTTTCCTCCTTTCTCTTGTTCACCTTCCCATCTGAGCATTTTCTTCCTATTTCACAATATCTATTATACATTTTGGTCCTTATTTACCCTTTTGATTTTTCACACCAGAGAAGCCATGTGATATTTACACATATGTGTCCAATTTATTTCACCTAAGAAAGTTGTCTCAAGGTGCATCCATTTAGCTAGAAATATCTCAAGCTCATCATTCTTTTTCTTCAGCTTTAATTGAGTTTATTGGTACATTTTAGGGATACAGTACAGTTACATTCATTGTTGGGATCTTGTACCTCTACATGACAAGTCTTGATTCTCATTTTTTCCCCTTACCTCTGCCCTCCCTTCAGCCCCTCCTCCACTCCCCATCTACAAACACTTTATTTCCATCTTTTCATTATCTCACATTTTTTTCTTTTCCCACTTATTAGGATTCTGTATTATTGCAGATTATTCACACCAGAGAAACTATTTGGTATTTACACACGTGTGCCTTATTTATTTCACTTAGGAGTATATCTTCAGTATGTACCCACTTTAAGCTCATCATTCTTTATGGCAGAGTAGCGCTCCATTGTATAAAAAAAAAGCCTTTATATTCATTCATTTTTTGATGGGTGTTTGGGGTGTTTCCAAGATTTAGCTATTACAAACTGTGCTGCTATAAACATGGGTGTGTATATATTGCTGTGATATGATGTTTCTTTGGGAAGATACGCAGAAGAGGAATAGCTGGGTCAAATGGAACCTCTAGTTTTAGTTTTTTAAGGAATCTCCACACTGATTTCCACAAAATTTCTACATTGCCACCAACAGTGGAGAAGGAGTCTCTTTCCCAACAGCCTAGCTAGCATTTGTTACTGGTTGATTTCTTTATGATAACCATTCTTTCTAGAGTTAGACGGAATCTCAGCATTGTTTTAATTTGCATCTCTCAAATGACCAGAGATGTTGAACATTTTTTTTCGTGTATTTATTTGCCATTTCTACTTGCTCATTTGAGAAGCGTCTGTTCATTTTAGATGCCCACTTTTGGATTGAGTCTTTAAATTTGGGGGTCTGATTTTTTTTAGTTCTTTATACATTCTGGGTATCAGCCCTTTGTCTGAGGAACACTGGCAAAAAATTTTTCCCACACTGTGTGTTGTCTCTTCACTCGGTGGTTTCTTTTGCTGTGCAAAAGCTTTTTAGTAAGATAAGAACCCAGGTGTTGATTCTTTGTAGTATTTTTTGTGTCACTGGGGTTTTAAGAGCCACTGTCTTTTTAAAATGATGACTGAGAACCTTGGAGCCAAACTTATAGCCATTCTCTAGCCACCATTTCCTAACTCCTTTGTCCATCATTTTAGAGTTAGATGGGGGGCTCTCCACCACTCTTAGATTCCAAGTTTTCAGAGATTTAAACAAGATATTGACACCACTAACTGATTGGACTGAACTAGGAAACCCAATTTTATAAAATGGGTAATTATTTGTTCAATGTCCAATATTTCTTTTGAATTAAAAGATACATTAGGATTGTGTTTCAATTACTTAGTCTGTAACCAAGTAATTGGTATTGGAAACCATGAATGACATAATTGACCAATTGTGCACTACAAACAAAAAATAACTTCATCATTTTGGATAGATTAAGTGCCATTCAACTTTAGTTACAAATGTTTAATTAGTTGTGGTTATTGTTTATGAGTGGGTTATAAAGTTATAAAAAGAAGTAGATATTCTAAAAGGAGATGTATTTAAAGTATTTATCATGAATTGTTTGTTAACTTTGAAAGCTCTTGTTCTTGGGTTAAAACAACATGCAGACGACCTAAGTCTACAATGTCAGAAGAGAAAATATGGTTCATAGCAAGGAACTGAGTGTTTTTTAGATCTGTCACCGATTTTTTTTTTTTTTTGGTACTGGAGATCATCATGCAGAGGATGATATGATTCTTTTAATTTTTTTGACTGTCTTCATAACAAATTTTTTTAAATGAGGTGTTGAAATGAGGTGTTTTGCAATTGATTGCATCATCTCTAAGGATGCTTCCATCTCTGATATCCTGAGATTCTGGAATTCTAGAGATTCAAATATGCCAGTACTACTCCAATATTGCTATTTTCTCCATCTTCTGACCAGAAGGAAGAGAGAAAAGGCAAAGAACACTGATGGCTACTGCCTGCTGAAAGTAGGACAGAGAGAGAGAGAGAGAGAGGTCTTTCAAATTTACATAATTTCAGAAATCGCATACTAGTGTTATTTTCTTACAAAATATTGCTGTGTGAAGATTAGCTGCAGTATGAATTTGGAGATACTTTTCCCTCTTTGCTAAATGATATGCAGGAATCCCAGAGAGATTTCATCATCAGTTTGGTGAGATCTAGATGTGAATAGTAGGGAGACTTTTTTCTGACCTTTTTCTTTTTCTTTTCTTCCTTCTTTCTTTCATTAATTTTTTATAGAGATTATCTTAAAAAGCCAGCCTGGTGCATGAAATTACTTAAGGGTGTACACTGAAAAATTTAGGGATTTGGGTTTATATATTCTCTCCGCATTCCCATCAAAAGTACTTATTTGATGGAGTAATGCAAGCTGTGGAGATGGTTCATAAAGGGTGAAGTATAGTGTGGTTTGGGGGGGGCTCAAATTAACCAGGTATTTCTTGCAATTCACTCACTTCTCTTTCTCTGTAGAATTTATTGCACCTATTCGGTTAGTATGAAGAACTGCAATTCTTTGCCCACTTGATTACCAGCTAGCAAAATACTTTGGTGTTTTTTATTTCATTTCCCAAACTAATTTGTATTATGGTCATATTTATAAACACTGCACTATGCAAAGTTTTTCCTAGCTGCAAGAATATTGATTGAATTTGATAATTTCAAAAAATATTTCTCAGCAGGTATTATTAGCTGCCTTCAAAATGCTGGCCTCCCACTTCCAAACAATCCCCTAACATGCACACACATGCACTTTTCTGTAACAGGAGCTTCTGCTGCTGGTACTAAGGTGATTGTCTTAATTTTCTACTTCTCACATTCAATGTAAACATCATCTACATACCCCTCATCTCCAGAGTAATCCATGACATTTCCTCACCTGAAAATAGTGACTTTCATTCTTAGAAATCTTGTTGTGTCAGAACTTCAATTGGTAGTGTTCTGTGTTATTTATTTTGGAATAAATCAGGTTCATTTTAACCCTTTCTAGTTAGAAAAACACTTCATTTTAAACACCTCATTTCAACACCTCATTTAAAAAATTTATTATTAAAACAGTCAAAAGAATTAAAAGAATCATATCACAGTGATATATACACACCTATGTTTATAGCGGCACTGTTTGTAATAGCTAAAACTTGGAAACAGCCCATTTGCCCATCATTTGGAAACTGGATAAAAAAGATGTGTTTTTTTCTATAAAATGGAATATTACTCAGCCATAAAGAATGAGAAACCAGATTCATTCATAGGAAAATGGATACATATTGAGGATATACTCCTAAATGAAATAAGTAAGTCACGCATGTGAAAATACCGAATAGTTTCTCTGGTGTGAAAAGCTACAATAGTACACAAGATCCTAATGGGATAATTAATAGTGTGAAATAGGAAGAAAAGGGCTAAAGGTGTAGGGAAAGTGGGAAGGGTAGAGGAAAGGTAATAAAGGAAAAGAAAAAAATATGAGAAAATGCAAAAATGGAAATAAAGTGTTTGTAAATGGGGAGGGGAGGGGGATGAAGGGACGGCAGGGACAAGGGGTAAAAATGAGAACCAAGACCTGTCATGTAAAGGTACAAGATCCCAATAATGAATGTAACTGTACTGTATACGTAAAATGTACCGATAAACTCAATGAGAAAAAAAACCCAGTCAAATGGTAAAACTTTTTATTAGATCATTTAGGGACACAGTAACAGGTGGTTTGCCTGGCCTTTTCACCTTTTAAAGGCTCCTTTGATTGGTGCAGCAAAGTGCCTGCACTATGCAGGCCTGGGAATTACCCTGTATCCAAGCTAGGTATTAAGCCCCAGTCAACTGAATTATTGCTTCTTGGAGGTGGTATGAGCCCTATCAAAGTGTGAATGATTTGTTGCTTGAGCACCACTGTGACGGAAAATCTTGAAAAATGGGTTCAAGGTTTTGCTTCATGGGACACTTGCACTTATTTATCATGTAAAACAAAGTGGATTGGACTACCATGTGACTGTGGGGGGCCAAATGGGGGGGGCGGCGGAAAAATTTTCCAAAATTTTTACAGAAAATTCTGGGTGGGTATGAAGTCAAGGTGATTCTACTAAACAATAAGATGACTTAATTGTCCCAGTTAATCAGGGGGTAGCCCACTGGGGTAGAATAAGCAACTGCAGAGCATTTTCCTTAGCTCCTTCCTACCTCTTACGCCACAGGCACGCCAGTAAGACAAGCACCTCCATCCTCCCCTCCCACTCTTCAGTGACAGATCTGTAAGCGCTTAGCAAAGCGTGCTTGGATACACAGAGCAACTGAAGCACAGGAGCATGTGGATGTCTTAGATTTTCTTTCCAGTCTGTGCTGCTCTCTTCTCTTAACTCCACCCCACTACTAGACGTAGGCATTAGACGTGACAGTCAGCCACATTTGAACAGAAGAAAATACTGAAGACACAGTCTCCAGGAGAATGTCTCACAGGCAGCCTCAGTCACCTAATCAGACTTTAATTTCAATCACAAATGACACAGAAGCATCCAGCTCTGCCGTCTCCAATGATATCACAAATAAAGGCTGGACCGGAGACAACTCTCCAGGAATAAAAGCACTCTGTGCCATCTATATCACTTATGCTGTGATCATTTCAGTGGGCATCCTCGGAAATGCTATTCTCATCAAAGTCTTTTTCAAGACCAAATCCATGCAAACAGTTCCAAATATTTTCATCACCAGCCTGGCTTTTGGAGATCTTTTACTTCTGCTGACTTGTGTGCCGGTGGATGCAACCCACTACCTTGCAGAGGGATGGCTGTTCGGGAGAATCGGTTGTAAGGTGCTCTCTTTCATCCGGCTCACTTCTGTTGGAGTGTCAGTGTTCACGCTAACGATTCTCAGCGCTGACAGGTGAGTCTTTTTTCTGTTATATTTTCTAGGATGTGAAATTAGACAAAAAGAAAGGAAAGCATGTACTTAGCATTTACTGGCTACTATTCTGCTTTTCTTACACTGTGAAACGGGGATGTAAGATTGGAAATCCGGTGGCTTTTTAATTCAAAGTTAGTGTAAAAACGTTTATTTTCCTGCATTAGCATCTAAGGAGAGGTTGAAAATGTGTGCTTTAGGGGAAATGTATTTTCTTTCGAGTGTAATTGTTCGCTTGAAAGGATACCAAACGGCGTTTTTATTTTCCTCCTGGCTTATTAAGTAAGGCAAATTGTTGCAGGTGTAAAAGAAAAAAAAATCCATGCTTTATACATTAGTGCAGCCTAGTGGTACAATATTGTCAACATGAAAACATTGGCATAGGTGTGAAATTAACCACAGATGCATTATCATATACCAGAAGAATGGTAAAGAGATAACGTGCATCTAATTTATTTGAAATTCATCAAATTAGCTAATGGCAGAAAAGCGGTGGGATTTTCACCTCCCTGGTAACTCAGTGTAAAGTCATCACTTAATTCCATTTGTTTTCTCTATAGGCGTTCAGTGACACTATCATTTCCAGAGAGATAAATTAAGCTTGATTGACTTTTAGAGCTCTGTGGCTAGTGCTTATGAAAAACCTCCTGCCGTCAGGGTGTTCGGACTGTTAGGATATTTTCCATCTAAGTACTGTGTTTTTCTGTCTTCCTAACTGTGAAAGCATGAAAAAAAAATGAGGCTCCAAATGTTAAAAGTGATGCTTTTAGATGCCTGGAAGAAGCCTGTAAGTAATCAATGCCTAGCAGTATTAGAAGGAGCAGCTTATTCAGACTGTGGAATTTGAGCGGAGAAAAGGGTTTCCCTGTGTCTTTTGAATTTTCTGCTTTCACTGGCAGACTTTTGTAAAGGCTGCAAGCTTGAAGGGGGATTTGTCCAATGCCGCGGCATCTTTGCAGGGGCATGGGGCTGTGATTTTATCTTTGCCTTGTCCGAAATCTCACAGATCAATCAGCTTGGGCAGCAAAGTAGCACTTGTGAACGGGAAAGAAATTAACCCCTCTCCTGTTTACTGCTGTGAACCCCTGGATTCTTTTCTAGGAAGATTGAAGGCTGCTCACTCATGAGGAAAGAAGAGTTAATTCCGTTTAGCATGAGTGACTTAGACAAAAAGAAAGTCTTTTCGAATGCGTAAAGTAATATATAAGTGGCAAATTACTCTCAATCACACATGAAATGGTGCTGAAAAAATGATTCCTAAACAGAGGATGTATACATTAAATTATAAAATTGCAAATTGGCAATATCTCATGGGAGTGAATAAAGAAAAAGCCAATGAAGATAAACAAAATGCCTTGGGGTGTATTACGTGTCTTTAAATCCGTAACCTATTCTAGCCACTTAATGTTGATTTGATTAAACATGTGTGGTAGGATGTAGAGCTGGATGACTACCAAGGTCGTATTTAACCCTAAGATTCTGCAATTTTGATATGTATTTTCACCTTTGCTTCTGATTATGTGCTTGTAGATACAAAGCAGTTGTGAAGCCCCTCGAGCGACAGCCCTCCAATGCCATTCTGAAGACCTGTGCAAAAGCTGGCTGTGTCTGGATCGTGTCCATGATATTTGCTCTGCCAGAGGCTATATTTTCAAATGTATACACTTTACAAAATTCCAACAAAAATAGGACATTTGAATTGTGTGCCTCTTATCCTGTCTCTGAGAAGCTCTTGCAGGAAATACATTCTCTGCTGAGCTTCTTAGTGTTCTACATTATTCCACTCTCGATAATTTCTGTCTATTACTCTCTGATTGCTAAGACTCTTTACAAAAGCACCTTGAACATACCTACTGAGGAACAAAGCCATGCCCGCAAGCAGGTATGTATTAATTGATACTGACACAAATACAGTTTGAGCTTAGAACTGAAATTTCTACTTTTGCATAGTGAGCAACTGTGTATTTATCTGTGTATAAATACAATAGCAGTGTAGAATTGTTAACACTATGGGCTCTGGTTTTAATGCCACACATACTAGCTGAGCAATCTTGAGCAAGTTCCTTAACCTCTCAGAGCCTCAGTTTCCTTATCTATCAAACAAAGATGAGGACTAGATGATATAGATAAATGTGCTTAGCATCATTTCTGGAGCAGAGTAAGCATTCCATAAATGGTGGGACTACTGTTATTAGAGAGGGAATGGTTGAGGTTTGGGAGCAGTAAAGATTATTTATCTCATGTAATAGTAAGGAACATTGCATAAGGTGAGACTATAAAGCAAAACATGTTTTGTATCAGAAAATGTAACATAATAATAGAAATGCACAAGATGGTAGAACTGGCAAGAACCCATAACATTATTTAGTACAAACCACTTGCACATGGGGGGGTGAGGTGGGAGGGGTACAGGGGTACGTTGCCTATGAAAGGAAAATAATGGGACTCAAAGAAGCTCGAGTAAGACCGTTCCAAGAGCCAGATTTGGTCTCCTCTCACAAATATGGACAGAATAAAGGGGGCGTTGCCAGAACATAGACTCAGAGGGACAAAGGGGGGAGGGTATTCCATTTGAGTCCTGCTTGGTACAGAGAGCTGTGCCTTTCTGTGGAGTTACTCCTTTCAGTTAATGCCACAGCAGTGCACAGAAAGCTGAAGTTGTGTCATCTTTGTTCTGTCTGAGACCACAGACTTTACCTTCACTTAACCTGTGTGTGTATGCCAGATATGGTTAGGATTACTCTCACTTATGAAGGACAGCATATTTGCTTTGTATTCTTTGACTATATGGTTACAATTCTATCGATCACAAGCAATTTTTTTGTAGTGCTAGGGATTGAACCCATGGCTTGCACATTCTATGCAAGTGCTTTAACATTCAGCTACACCCCCAGATCTGAAAACAATTCCTGATACCAATTTGACAACTTTCATTATCCAGGGATAACTATTCTCCCCTAATCAGCCTCTGTGGATGCAGTGAAAGCAGTTTTGGACAGCGCCTGCTTTAAATTAAATTAAGTTGTTGGGAATTCCACAGCACTCCTGGAGTTGCAGACATCCTAGCATATCACAAAACCACAGGGTGGTAGGAGGTCTTGGAATTAGAGTTAATGAGACCAAGATCATGGGTTACCATGCCAATTAATTGGCTGTGTTCTGTAGCCACAGGCTGACTTCCTGCACATCCCAGCCAATAGCTGACAAGCGTGTGTACCAAGGGACACCAGCATGTCAGCTCTAAATTTCTATGGAAATCTAGAGAATGGCTTTGAAAAATCTCTGCCAGTGAAATGATTTTTGTGTGTGTCCTTTTCTTCCCTCCTGTAGATCGAATCCCGGAAAAGAATTGCCAAAACGGTTTTGGTGCTGGTGGCTCTGTTTGCTGTCTGCTGGTTGCCGAATCACCTCCTGTATCTCTACCACTCATTCACTTCTGAAACCTATGTAGACCCCTCTGCCATACATTTCATTGTCACCATTTTCTCTCGGGTACTGGCTTTCAGTAATTCCTGTGTAAACCCCTTTGCTCTCTACTGGCTGAGCAAAACCTTCCAGGAGCAGTTTAAAGCTCAGCTGTTCTGCTGCAAGGGAGAGCTGCCTGAGCCTCCTCTTGCTGCAACCCCTCTTAACAACCTGGCTGTGATGGGAAGGGTCCCGGGTGCTGGGAGCACAATCTCTGAAATTAGTGTGGCCTTGTTCAGTGAGTGTGCCGTGAAGAATGAAGAGGACAGAGTCTAGCTTTCCTATTAAAGTGTTTTTTCCTCCCAGTGTGTGTATCCAGCTCTAAGCTGTGCCACAGGTGTGTGGTTGGTTTTTTCTTGTTTGTGAACTGTGTTGAAGTCTTAGGAGTTAAGGATCCATATAAGTAACAGATGAACCATGGTTTCCTTTGAAGTACAGTGATGCTATGGGGCTAACTAAATTAAAGCTCGTGAAGTATAGAAAGACATGTTTGTATATGCCAGTGAGCTCTAAGGGAGGCTGAATTGGAGGAAAGAAATAAACAAGATGAAACATAAAAATCTAATTTATTTCCATCACATCTCTGATGCTTCTAACTGCTCCTAGACTCCTTTGTTATTGAATTATGTTTGTGTTTCTTACGTGGTGTGAATCTAGGGATTATACTTTGTGTAGGAAAAGGAGATCAAAAAGAGATAAAACATCTCTTACACAGTTCTCTTAAAGAATAAGTGACTGCCCTTTTCCGTTAATCTCTATTCCATTATAACTAAACCTGCAGTTTAAATGAAAACGTGTGGGGGCTGGTGAGGATCAAGTATTGAGAAAGGATCTGGGGCAGGGTGATTGCCTTACTGGGTCAACACTTCGTGGCTTCATGTAGTTCTGCCTAGAACTGCATTAAGAACTGGGCAGAGTTGCTTTGCATAAATACTGTGGAGAAGCTGCCTTACTCTCAGGCAGAATAAGTGGCCACATTTATGGTGTTGTTAAGGGCCCCACAGGACCCCTGTGGAAAAATCTGTACCTGCCAGCATCTGAGACTCTTCCTTTAAGGAAAGTCATTTCTTTTGGGTAAGTAGTGCCCTCTTTCTGAAAACCTGAAGAAGTGCCACTTGAAATCCTTACCAGCTGGGTGTGCAATTGTCATCAGCTCATCTTCCTGCTTGACTTTAGTAAACGTGTTGGGTGCCTAAGTCCTGTAAGAGTGTGACCTAACTAACATGTCCCTGGAAATCAGATGGAAGGCTCTGATTTTCTATCCTCTGCTCCTATTGCTAACCCAATAAGCTTGTTAATAACTGTCATATTAAAGCCTGTGTCAATAGCCTTGTCAGATTTAGACTTGTGGTTTCAGAAAACATATTCTTGGAGCAAATTAAAGCTTATGTCTGGCACAATAGATAGTCAAATTTGTATTTTTTAAAACTTGATATGTGAGTGTGCTTTTGATAGTTGTGAGCTTTCTTTAAATGGCTTGTGTGGTTGTGAACTTTTGCTAATGATGTGGCTCACAAGGGGATATATAATGTTGTTAACACCAGACTTTAAATCTATAAAATTGGTTTACTTAAAAGTGGGGTGCTGGTGTTGTATTAATGTTGCTTTAAAGTGGGCATTGTAATAAGTGGGAGAAAACAAATAAACATGAAATAAAGTTTCAAATGGTTCTGTGTAACTTTATTTTCTAAAATCATTTCTGGCAGTTATAACTAGGAACACATTTTAATTCCAAAACTAAGCTATTTTCAAGTCACAGAACTCTAAAATATTTTTACCTCCGAGTAAATGTTTTATCTTTACTCTCCTAAGTATAACATGTTAGTAATAATTTGATAAAAATCCAGGTAACAAAAACTAAGAAGGCTCATTAGCACTTCATAAAACTGAAGCCCAAAGAACTTTTTTTCATTGTTAATAATCCCTAAGGGATGCAGGGATGTGATATAAAAAGATTCCCTAAATGTTTTCATAGGGCACCAGCCTCCTTCCATCCACAGATGAAGAATTGGGGTTAAAATTTGTGGCTATGTTTTGACTTTTTGGAGAGGGTGTCTCTCTTTTAATAGATTATCCTTGTCAGTAGGCCACAATCTCTTGCATACTGCTTATCATGGCACCAGAAATGGAAGATTTCGACGGGAGATTTCCTACAGGGGTATAGTAGTGAAACACATATGAAACAAATTTTGCTCAGGGTCTTCTCATGCTCAAGATTTAGGATTCCGGCCATAATAGTATACTATAAAACAAAGTCACAAAGTTAGCTGTAGCATAAAATATAGCCAGCAGGCAAGTCTCCACCACTGACACTGAAAAGTGCTGGAAGTTAACACTAGCATGCATGCTGTGAATAGCAAACTAAGTTTTAAAGAATTTCTGCAATTTTCACCATCTTAGGTGAAGGATCTGTCAGATGTGGGATGCTGACTTTTTTTCTTTTTTGTTTTCAGTGCTGGGGATCAAACCCAGGTCCTTGCTCATGCTAGGCAACTGCTCTGACACTGAGGTACATCCCCACCCCTTTTTACATTTTACTTTGAGACAGTTTCCTCTCCCTAAGTTGCCCAGGTGGGGTGAAAACTTGTGACCTTCCTGCCTCATCTATCCCAGTAGCTAGGAATTACAGACATGTGCCACGGCACCCAATCATCAGTCTTTTTGTCAGCAGTTGCATTTATTTCTACTAAATCTTCAGATTACAGGATGTGGAGACAAGAATATTCCTGTACAGAGCTGGCATGAAGAGGCTATTTAAAAATTGAATTTGCTATAGTTCCTTAATATTTCAGAAAGCCTTTCTCGGGCAGATAGGTGACTTCTTCAGCCCAGCAGTCTCTGCTTTAGTAGGTTATATATATTTCATCCACCAAGAAGGTCATGGCCTGTTAGAACAGTATTACAACACAGACCACCCCTTACTGAGGTCAAATAGAGAAGAATGAGTCCTTCAAAGAGAAGCTGGCTGTTTGGACTCCACCTGGCTCCTCTTCCTAGGACCAGGAGTCTCTCATGCAGCCCATCTACAATATGTCCTAGGAGTTTCAGGAACCATTCCCTGCCTCTAGAGCAGTAATGGCTAACCTTTCAGAGCTTTCAGTGATAACAAACAGACTGCTGTAGCACACGTGCCATAGGTTCACCACCACTAGTCTCCCTTTTTGCTTTGCTATTTTGAATGTTTTTGTAAGTTGCAAAAAACCAAATCATTATTAAAAGGCAACTTTCAGGTATTACAAAGAGAATGGCATGGCAGGTACACATTGCCTGGCTCCCAATTCACTGCACCATTATTATGATGATTCGGTGACCCTCTTAATATTGCTTTGGTTGCTCCTTTCACCTCTGGGGTACTTCTCCATAGTAGGCTGTCCCTGTTCTTCTTTTTATGTGTGCCTCCCTGCCTGGTTCTACTTTGGCCATGCACATGTGTTTCATGCTCTAACATGCCAGGAGAGGCTCTTATTGGAAGTTAGTCAAACCCATTAAAGTAACAGGGCTGGGGATTTACTTCAGAAGTGCCACCACCTGCCTCGCAAGAGCAAAGTCCCAAGTTCGATCCCTGGTACCTTAAAAAATATTACCCTTACAGGTCACACCAAAGGCCTCCAGGCAGCCTTTGAATGGCTGGGTGACATGGGACCTAGGCATAAGAAAGCTCTTTGGTCACCTGCTTGGAAGGGGGCTGTGGTAAAGCAGATACTCAGGGCATCAGGTGCAGTACAATGAGGTATATATTATCACCTATGCTGTGAACTCGATCAGAAATGAAATGGGAGGGCCAGGGATTTAGCTCAGTGGTTTGGTGGCCTGCCTTGAAAGCACAAAGACCCGAGTTCAATCCCCGGAACAAAAAAAAAAAAGAAAGAAAAGAAATGGGAGGCCAACAACACATTGCTGAAACAGCTGTATATTATTTTTGGATCCAGGAAGAAATTTTTAACAATGTTTAAATGAGCCTAAAAAAATCTCCTGTTATAAAGATACATGCAAATTCAGTTTTCCAACAGTTCCTACTGAAACAAGAGCTTTATGAAAAAAATGTAATTGAAAACAAAAATAAGCCCCAAGTACTATTTTAAAAAACCTTGCTATACTTGAAATCTAATTCACTCAGATGATATGTTTGGAGCCTGGATTTTCCAGAACCTGTACCTCATTCACCATTGTTTATATGCAAATACTACTAGAATATAATTTCTTTTCTCTTTTGGGGACCGTGCCTTGCTATGTAACCCAGGGTGCCCTTGAACTCACAGTGTTCCTCCTGCTTCAGCCTCCTGAGTGCTGAGATTATAGATGTGTACCACTACACCCAGCTAAATAGAAATAATTTCTGGGGAGCTTCGCCCACTCTCAAGTCTGGGTTATAATATTAATGTTTTCAATTCCGAAATAGTTTATTTTTAATATTTTAAATGGCAATTTTTATATGAGAGCAGCAAATATCTGTAAATATAATCCACATACAAAAAAAGCTCTCTAGGGTCAACTTTGTGAGTGTAAAAGGGTGCTGAGATCAAAAAGTTTTGAGTACCACTCCTTTCCAGCAGACTGCACTTTTGCTATCATATCATTTGCCAACCATCCTGTTCCTCTGGGCTGTGTCTCCTTGACACATGTCACTAGATCTTCATACACTGCCTGTTGCTTAGTAGGAGCTCAGTAAATATCCGCCAAATTAAAAAGGCGGACTTCTTCACTTTTAGCAGGGGGCAATTTCTGGAGTGGGAGAGTCTGTTTAGTGAAGCATGCTGTGCCTTTCTAAAAGACAAAAAGTGGAGTCAGTTACACAGTAAAGCTGGTGTTTACACTGGTATGTTTACATGTGAGCCTCAAAGTCTGGGGCCGGAGGACGGGCGAATCCTGGGATACAATGGCAAACAATGACTGCCCCTACCTCCCTTCCACACACTGGAACTCCAGCCTGAGGAAGGTACCAGACCGATAAAGGAGGTGAGATCATTAGTTGAATCCATTCATTCGCCCCACACTAAACACCAGACCTCCGGGCCAGGTGCTTAAACTACCAAAATGAACAACAGCAGGTGTCTAGCCTAGAACAATCCTTTCAAAGTAAGGAAAAGGCCAGATATCTGCGCAGGGGAGGGGCCTTCGGGCGGAGGAGGTGCGTCGTTTTCTCCCAGCCGGGAAACTGGTCCCGGCCGCCCCACCCACTTTCCCAAGATGGCGCCCGCTGCATGGCAATATTCCCACGGCTTCCTGCGGGCCACCGCCAGGGCCAAACCTAGCCTCCTCTATCTGGGACCCGACCGAGCCCAAGACCTTGGGATGTTGCGGATACCCACGGGCCGCGACCTTTCCCAACGCACGCATCGGTGGGCGTAGACGCTAGGGAGCACCGCGCCCTCTGGCGCCCCGCCCTCGGGCCTCGAGGCCGTAGGCCTGCGTCGGCGCCTTTTGACGCCATTTGTGGGCGTGGCGACGCGAT